GAAAGTCAATTTAATTAAATATTGTATATATCATTGCACACTATTATATACAATATATTAGTTAAAAAAAACTTGGTTCAGGCCCAGAAGATAAGTTAGTAACATTAAATATTATACATATTACATTACACACTATTATATATGTACTAGTTAAAAAATTTCACCTCACAGGGGCACGTGCCCCTGCGGGACCCCCCTTAGGTCCGCCCCTGGTGTGGACATTTCGTAATATAATTAATAGACTGATAGATATTATGGTAAAAATATCTATTAATTTACTTTTATTTGAAAATATATAAATAAATATTTCTCTCCAAATTTTGTGAAAGGTTTTCATTATAAAGGCCGGTTTCTAAATATTCTAAATTTGAATTGATGTATAATTAATAATCTTTTTAATAAAATTTGACACGTATGTTACCTAAATTTGTGATAGAAAAATTATATTAATTTAATTTCTTTTCAAACTAATACCTCACATTTAGTAAGAAAATAAAATAATTACTTTTTCAATCATCTACGTATATTAACATTCAATAGTGGAGGATTTTTGTATTTAAATTTTAAATAGAATTTATGATAGTTTATGAAGATAGACCTAATGTATGTGGATTTTATTTGTAATTCAACTTTAAATACAAATATGTACAAAGATGAAAAGAAATCATAAGATGAAATATTATATTTATATGAATTTTATGAATAAAAATCGGTTCTCGGTTCGGTTAGATTCGTACGGTTCTGGATTCGGATATTTCATGAATCTCCAGAATCGTACCAAATATTTTTTCGGTATCATTCGGTTCGGATAAAGTCAAACGGTCAACGAATATATTTTGGTTCAGGGAATTCAGTTTGGTTTTTAGAACATTTCGATAATCTCTGAGTCCCGTGCTCAGCCTTAGATGTCATTGTCCAATTTTTTGTGATGTGGCTTGACTGCTGTCAAGCTCACTCTTTGAAGGCAAACAATGTAGTGGACTGTATAACTCACATATAAACGTGCCAAAATGTGTGGAATCTTGGAAAAAAAGGACAAAATTTTTAACTATTTCGTATTTACTTGATATAAAAAAACACGTGCAGTGCACTTACAATTTTCGTATTTTGAAATTAAACTAATTTTGTATTTACTTGATCATTTTTTACGTATTAATTTATTTTTTTTTTCCAAAATTTGATTCCTAATTTAATTATTTATTTAGTTTTGGGGAGATGAAAGTCACTTTTTTTTAAGTAAAATTTTTTAATTTCCCTTACTTTAGTATTTATTTAGTTTTAGGAGGATGAAAATGAACGTAATTAAGCAATTAAAATCTCAAAATTGGAGTGTTAGATATGTTTTATCTAATGAATTTGGTTAAACTTTAATAAGTTGTTTTATCATTTTTATTTTTTTAGAAAGTCAACAGTAATTTTATAAAAAAATCACAATCCAATTAATTACTGTCATTAAGCATGAACATTTTAACATTGACACTTAGTACACTGGAGATGCTTTAAGATAACTTATAACTTATTTAATTAACTTATAAGCTTCCTCTATTCGAATAAGCTTAGTTTGGTAGGACGAGCTTTTCTGAAAAGCTTAAGTTTATTTATGTCATAAGCTTCTTTGTGGAATTTTTCAAATAATCTCATTGAAAATTTATTTAAGCTAGCTTATTAGCTAATTTTATAAAACACCTTTTATCATATAAGTTAGTTTTTCAGCTAAAAGTAATAAGCTATATTAGTCAGCTTATCGGCTATAAGCTAGCTTATCAGCTAGGTTTATGTACTAAACATAGTCTATAACTTATTTGATTAGCTTATAAGTATCTTGTATTCAAACAAACTAGGTTTGGTAGGACGAGCTTTTTAAAAAAGCTCGAGCTTGTCGCATAAGCTTCATTGGTTGCTTTTCAAGTCAATTGGAATTTTACTTTAATTAGCTTATCAGCGAATTTTACAACACTAATAATTTAGTTTTTCAACTAAAAGCAATAAACTATTAATTATAAATACAAAATTCACTTAAAATTTATCAAATAGGGTCTAGTTTATCAAACTTAACAGATTTGTTAAAGTTTTTTCAAAAGAACTTGTACTACCAAACCAACCAAACGTGCTTAGCCAAATTAGTCAACTCTTGAACAGCAATAATTATACTATAAATTCCATTTATTTCTCCGAGCACCGCCGCACCCCAGGCCGCCGGCAGCCACCGCCTCACCTAATAAATAAATACGCAAAATCCCACCACACTCACATGCACACTCCTCCCGGAGAGTGGACAAAACATTCGCCGGCCGCCTCCAAACCCACCGTCTGAAACCCGCCCGCCGCCATCCATGGGCTGGGGGAACGTGTTCTTCACCCTGGTGATCACCTTCTCGGCGGCGCTCATCACTTACAACATCATCATATCCGCCAACGCCTCCCTCAAGGGAGACTTCCCCGGCCCCTCCTCGTCGGAGAATTCGGCTCCATCCTCCCCCTCCGCGGTGGAGCCCATCATCCGATTGCCGCGCTCCGCCGGCGGGAAGAAGAGGCTCTTCCACACCGCCGTCACCGCCTCCGACTCGATCTACAACACGTGGCAGTGCCGGGTGATGTACTACTGGTTCAAGAAGCAGAAGGCCATGAATCCCGACTCCGAGATGGGGGGTTTCACTAGGGTTCTGCACTCCGGGAAGCCGGACGGCTTCATGGACGAGATCCCCACCTTCGTCGCCCAGCCCCTGCCCGATGGGATGGACCAGGTCTTTGGCTAATTTGTCTCTAAATACAAATTGTTTTCGTCCCTTTTCATGGTTTTGGTGATTGATTGTGGTGGAATTTCAGTACATTTACATAGCTCTATGCTCATCAAATCAAACAGCCTGCTACATTTATATTCTTTGTCTAACATCAATGTTCTTATTGCAGGGTTACATAGTCCTGAACAGACCATGGGCATTTGTGCAGTGGCTTCAGCAAGCCAAGATTGAGGAAGAGTAAGGATGAAAAGTCATGCTTTATGTTCGTTGCTCGGCTTTTTGATATCATATTATCATGACTACATTACTTATCTGGTGCTTGTTTGATCCTCTCTGTAGCTACATATTCATGTCTGAGCCAGACCACATTCTGGTCAAGTCCATCCCAAACTTATCCAGAGATGGGCTGGGAGCTGCATTTCCTTTCTTCTACATTGATCCCAAGAAATACGAGAATGTGCTGCGAAAATTCTTCCCCGAGGAAAATGGGCCGATAACTAAAATCGATCCCATTGGAAATTCTCCTGTGATTGTAGGGAAGGTAGTACCTTTTGGTGATTATGAAGCTGTCTGACATTATCTTTGTTCTGTTTTTTTCTTTTGGTACAGTGTTTTAACTTTTTTTACGGAATAATATTAGGATGCTTTGCAAAAGATAGCTCCCACTTGGATGAACGTTTCCTTGGCTATGAAGAAGGATGCCGAGGCCGATAAAGCTTTTGGATGGGTTCTTGAGATGTGAGCTACCACATCCGAGTTTATTTATAGTTGCTTGCCCTTGGCGTTTTTAGTTGCCAACTTAGAGTGAATTGTTGCAATTGTAGGTATGGTTATGCAGTTGCATCAGCATTACAGGGTGTGAGCAATATCTTGCACAAGGAATTCATGATTCAGGTGGGGCATAATTTTGGTGTGTTGTTGAGTATCTCGTGAGGCGAATCTTTGATAATTTGATAAAGCAAACTTATTTGAGTTTGTAGTATATGTGGCTAATATTGCTTATGGGTGTTTATGTTAATGTTATTGGACTCAAGTGCTGCTAGTTACATAATGGAGGGCCGGCCTAATAGTTGTATATCTTGTCACTTTTGTACAGCCTCCGTGGGACACAACGATCAGCAATACCTACATAATTCATTATACTTATGGATGTGACTACGATTTGCAGGTATTATATGAAAATTTTATTAATCTTCGGTCCTTTGATATTTACGTTTCCTTGGGGAATTGGGAGTAGGAAACTGAGAAATTATTTTTATTTCTCTCACTAAAATGGTTTGGATTGGTGTATGTCATGTCATGCCTTTCAGGGTAAGATGACTTACGGAAAAATTGGAGAGTGGAGATTTGACAAAAGATCATATACCAATACCTGGCCTCCAAAAAATCTTTCTTTGCCGCCTCCTGGTGTTCCAGAAAGCGTGGTACGTTTTTTATAACCTAATTAGTGTGCATTTATATTCTTAGCTTTTTTACATGGTTTAGCACAACCGATAGCTTTGATGGCCTACATTTGGAAATAGAGAATACAGTGACCATACGGATTGGGACTAAGCATTTGTTTGCCTCTAATGTGTTTCTTTGTTCGGCTTTGTGATTTATAATATCTGTGGATGCATCAAAAGATTGCGGTTTCTATTTTCATGGTTTCGTGATCATCTTAATGGGAGAAAAAAATAAAATTTACACATGAATTTGGGACATGACAGGTTACACTGGTGAAGATGGTGAATGAGGCGACTGCCAATATTCCAAACTGGGGTTCCTAAAATTCTAATCCCAGTTTTCTCTGTAAACAATTGTGCCAGTTATAACTCGTTAGTTTAGACCAACAAGAATCGGACCTTGTTCCTCGCATGAGCTGAACGCAAGCTGCCTTTCAATTTTTTCCTGCTCAAATTCTCTTGTTTAATTTGTATTTGGAAATTCTCTGTGCTAGTTATTTACTATCAAGGTTTTAAATAGCGGGCTAAAACGTTTATGGTACTGTAGCTATAGCGGGATTTAGCGGCTAAATTGCACATGAATACAAATAGCGGCACGCTGCAAAAAAAAACTATTTCTGAAATAGCGGCAACTTTAGCGAGCTATTTATTTCCTTGTTTACTATACATATCAATGTAAATCATGAAGAGAATAGCACCATCCTCATTCACTTTTTTTTTTTCACTGCCCAAGCACTTTCTAGTTTGTGTGTGTATGTGTGTGTGTATGTGTATGTGTGGAATGGAATGAAAACCATTCATAAAATGAGATCATAGGAATTAACCACAACTATCCATATATATATATATCTCTATCTCTTCTCTATCTTTATCTCTACTTAATTAAAAGTGTGAATGATTTTGTAAAAATTTAGATAGACCAAATTACCCTTACTGTCTCAATTTTTAGTGTCTTAATTGTCATTTGTTAAGAGTCCATTTAATGTGAGAGAGTACTAATTATCAAGGTTGTCAAAATCGGACCGGTCGTCGAATCGGTTAAGCTACTGGTTCAATGGTTCACTGGTCCGACCAGTGGTTGAACCGGTTGGACTGTTATTTAATTTATTGATATTTTTAAATATTTAATATTTTATAAATATAGTTGACTTAATTTTTAAGTAATCTAACTTATTGATCTTTTAAAATATATAATATTATATAAATAATAGTTAACTTAATAGTCATATAACTTAATAGTTAATTTAATTTATTGATTTTGTAAAATATATAATATTCTATAAATATTAAATAATAATTAACCTAATATATACTAACCGCGAGAGCATGCCCAGGTGTTACATACTATGAAAAAACAATTTCCTCCTACACGGCTTTAACAGTTGGAGTTCTTAATTTCTTATACTACCTGCTTGTTCCACATCGGATGACTTAAAAAGTTGAAAGGTAAGTTGCTGTATAAATATGTTAAGAGTGTATCAGAATTTCAAAAAAAAAAAAAAAAAAAAAAANNAAAAAAAAAAAAAAAAAAAAAACTTACTGACCGGTTGAACCAACCGGTTTTTTCCCGGTTTTGTCCGGTTTTCACCGGTTTGACCGGTCATTAACTGGTTTTTGACCAGTTTGACTGAAACTGGACCGGTTAACCGGCCGGTTCCCGATTGGACCGGCCGGTCCGGTCCGGTTTTGACAACATTGCTAATTATTCCTTGACATTATATAAACAATTTTTTTAATAAAATATTCATTTAATGAGAAGAGAATAGTAATTGTTTCTTGGCATTATATAAACTGACAAATCTCACCTATATGTACATTCTTTCCATTTTATATTTTAGATTTTTTTTTTTTCATATTTAGTTTAGTAGATATTTTATTTTGGTTAATAGATGCATTTTTTTATTAATATCAGATTTTGGATATCAACTTATATAATACGCTTATGATTTAATAAGCGACTCATTACTTCTTCATTTTAATGTCATGTAATTGGTGTTTGAAATAGTTGTTGATATTTTTTTTTTCTTATTTTTATTTTTCCAACGTAATGTTTTTCAAACTAATGCGGGAAAAATGAACTAACATGTGGTATTTCATGTTAATTAAATAATTGAGAAAATAACTTCACACACATTTTATACTTATGTTTGCATTGTGTTACCCACTATGAGAGTCCAATAACAAGTCACCATGTTAGATATTAAGATTTAGTTGGAGTAAATAATAATTTTGCTTGTTCTATTTTCTTTTTTTTTTTTGTATAAAACAATTTAAAGAGCATAGATCTATAGCACATGCCTAATACATTACAAAATTATTTGCTTCTATATAAAAATGTATCTCAATTTTTGTATAATGTCATATTTGTAATTTAATCATCCATTAAGACAAGCATTTGACCAAATTAATTATACATTAAATTGTGTGTCAAATTTTAAAAAAGGAAAAAAAAAACTTTCTAATTTTCTTCAATAAATTCGGGTGGAAAAATTCCTTACAGAAAATATAGCAATATAGAAATTGGCTAATCCTTTTATATAGATGTAAATTGTTTGTGTAACTTCTTTGATTGAATTAAAATTATGAATACATTTTGTATTTTGTATTTTTTTCTGCATTAATATATCCCTTCCATATATAATAATTGGTGTACTATTAAACAATTTACTTCACAAAATTTAATATGAAATCTCTATCTCTATCTCCATCTCCACTTACTTAAAAGTGTGAATGTTTTTGTAAAAATTTTGATAGACCAAATTACCCTTACTATCTCAATTTTTTACTCTCTTAATTGTCACTAGTACATATCCCGTGCGATGCACAGAGTGCACAAAATTAAGGCCATTTATCAAGTCTAATAATTATATAAATGAATAAAGAAAAATGTACGGGATATATATAGTACGTGACCTGTAATAGGCCAAAATGTAAACACGAGATGCACAATTTTAAGGTCATTTGTTAGTGCAGAGTCGGGGCGATGCACGGGGTGCACAATTCTCTAGTATGTGTAACAAATACATACCGTATGCATGGGACAAAAGCACTAAATGAGTTATTTCCACAGAGCTTGCCCGTTAAGTAGCTCCTGAACACGGGTGCACAATTAAAATCAGAACATATATCCATACAATTAGATAATAAATAAAGCTTTTTTTATTTTAGAAAAGATTTTACGTAATTTTTTTTACTTATGGGATGTTATGGGATTTTTTTATTAAACCGATTTTCTGGGATATAATACAAATACAATTAGAGAATTGAACAAAATCAGAACATATTTATATACAATTATATAATAAGAATGAATTAGATAAGGAATAGAAGAAATTAGATAATGAATTTTGAATCTACATTTTTTTTAGTATAGATATACTTTACGTACAAATTTTGACTTCACCGATTTTATGAGATTTGTTTTGACAAAATCAAAGACGAACACTGAAAACTGTTTCTATTAACATTTACACTGTGTATTTAATGTTTTATTTGGCAAAATATTCTTTTTAAGCGTGATATATAAATATTAAAAATACATAAAATATTTTATAACATCTATAAAAGTATCTAAAATATTCTATATTATTCACAAATAATGTTTGAAGCTACCTAAATTTTTCTAAACTACCCGTAAGGAAAATATGTATAAAAATTCTTCATTTAACCTCCTTATATGTATATATATATAGAGCAAATGTGTAAAAAAATTTATACAAATAATATTTAAAAGTATCTAAAATATTAGTAATTAGACAGGTGAAATTTAGATTTTTAAAAAATCTATATAGATAATGGATTTATAGTAGTAATTAGACTTTTATTTATTTCTTTAAAGTTGTTACGATAGAGAGATGTGATGTTTTTGACTCGTGGAGATGGAATTTTATAAGCTGGGTTATGAAATTTTTCTTAAACTCATCCCTATCTATGCGATGAATTTTTTAAGTTGGGTATATAGATTTAAATTTATAAAAAAAAAACAAAAAAAAAAAACTTTCATAAATCATTTGATTTGGTATTTTTGGAGAGCTTCATTAATTTAAAAGTGTAAAATAAATAAATAAAAAAAGTACAACTGAAAAAGTTATAACCAATTGTATGGAGAATTAAACTAAATCCAATTTTGTAGGATGAATTAAATATTGATTAGATTTTATATTTAAAATAAAATAAAAAATAACTGGAATAATTTTACGTGTTGCAATATTTTACATTTAAAAAAATTAAAAAAATCTTCTTTTACGCATTGCATACCAACATTTTAGGAAATACATGGATATTCCTAAATTAATATTGCATACCCAATATTTTAGGAACTAATTAAATGCTAATTTGATTTGTATACCAAAAATAATAGATGCATTAATTAAATGCTTGATAAAAATAGCAAATCATTAATTAGGGTTGACTATTCTACATACTACATTTAGTAAATAGTATAGCTTTTAATATAAGTATAGATATGTTAATAGTCCATTTATTGAGAGAGAGTACTAACTTTTCCTTGACATCATATAAACAATTTTTTAATGACATAATTGTCATTTGTTAAGAGTTCATTTAATGAGAGAGAGTAGTATTTGTTTTTTGACATTATATAAACTGACAAATATCACATATATGTACATTCTTTCCATTTTATATTTTGGATTTTTTTTTTCATATTTAGTTTAGTAGATATTTTATTTTGGTTAATGGATGCAGTTTTTTGATTAGTTTCAGATTTTGGATGTCAACTTATATAATACGCTTATTATTTAATAAGCGACACATTACTTCTTCATTTTAATGTCATATAATTGGTGATTGAAATAGTTGTTGATGTCTTTTTTCATATTTCTATTTCTCCAGCGTAATGTTTTTCAAACTAATGCGGGAAAAATGAACTAACATGTGGTATCTCATGTTAATTAAATTATTAAGAAAATAACTTCACACACATTTTTTACTTATGTTTGCATTGTGTTACCCACTATGAGAGTGTTTTAGTAAGTCCCATGTTAGATATTATGATTTATTTGGAGTAAATAATAATTTTGATCGTTCTATTTTCTTACTTTATTTTTTTTTTTGGTATAAAACAATTTAAAAAACATAGATCTATAGCACATATCTAATACATTATAAAATTATTTGTTTCTATATAAAAATATATCTTAATTTTTGTATAATGTCATATTTGTAATTCAATCATCCATATAAGACAAGTATTTGACCAAATTAATTAAGCATTAAATTGTGTGTCAAATTTTAAAAAAATAAAAATTAAACTTTTTAATTTTCTCCAAAAAAAACTTCGGGTGAAAAAATTTCTTACAAAA